GGGGACGGGGGCGCGCGTGTGCGTGGGCGCGGGGACGGGGGGTGGGCAAGCCGCGGCGGCGGCGGCAGCTGCTGCTCCCTCCGCATGTTCTCGCTGCATCTTCCGAGTGGGGGGAGTTATGGTAACTGGAGGGGAGGCAGCGGAGGTCGGGGGGTCGGGGACCGGCCTCGTGGGGGCCAGGGTCGCTGTCGCGCGGGGGCGGCCGGTATGGGGTGGTCTTGGAGCCCTTCAGTGGAGGCGGCAGCTCGTGTGTGTTCGTGTTCGTGCGCCCTGTGTGTGTGCCATGTGCACACGGGGGCCCAGTTCCTCGTGCACACATGTGCAGCCTGTCATGTGCAAGACTGTCCTGTCTTATCTTGCCCTGCCCGGTTCCTGCCTAGAGGGCTGCTGGGCCGGCCACTGCCTTGTGAGCAGTGCCTGGCCATACTGGTACATGTCACCTCTGACCCTCAGCATGCATGCCCCCGGCTAGGGCTCACCTCCTGTCAGTCTCCTGTGTGTGGCTGCATGAGCAGGATTTTCTGTCCCTGGTGGCAGGTGTGTGTCTTTGCATGTGTGTGCCATCATTGGCCTGGGTATCTGTGTCAATCCCAGCATGGGTGTCCAGGGTGTGTCTGGATGTGGGTGGTGTGCGAGTGGGGGGAGGGAGTAAGTGTGTGTGAGTGTGTTCCTTGGAATCCTACCATATATGAAACACCTTTGGGCTACGCAGGTGTGAACCCTTGCTCAGTCAGGGAGCGGGGACAGAAAAGCTGAAAAGGGAAAGAGTGGGATAAAGAGGAAAAGTGGGGGGAAAGGAGGAGAGGAGGAATGAGAGAGGCTTGGAGAGGAGAGGAGAGCGAGCCCGGGAGAAAGAATAGCTGGAGAATGAGAATGTGGGAGATAGTTGAGCCAGATTTAGAAGAGAGAAAAGAGGATAAGAGAGCTTAAGATGGGGAACTGGATCGAGATGGTGGGAGAGGGGGCCTAGGAGCTGGGGAGGCCAGAGGAGGAGAGAGTCAGGCCTTTTGGTAAAGTGATTTCCCAGAGAAAAAAGGGGCAAGTTGGGAGAGGGCACCAGGTTCAAATAGGCCCTGTAAGGTCAAGCTTGGTCGGATTGGGGAGGCCACTCAGGCATAGGGGCTGGCTCACAGTGAGGCTTGTCACAGCAGCGACTGTCATTAAAGGTTCCTGTCCCCAGCACAGAGTTTTGCACCCATTTCTCTGTCCAACTCTGTTCTTCATCTTGCTCTGGCTACCTCCCTGCTCTGGCTCCCCTTGAGAGCTGCCAGCTGGGTGTGACAAGGAAGAAAGGCCAAAGGGAAGGTTAGGGGTTTGGGGGATTGGAGGGCAGGGCAAAATTCTGTGGGTGATGGCAAGATTAGAGAGGGTGGAGAGGCGGGAGTCTAAGCCCTTACTGTGTGTGTGTGTGACTGCAATTGTGTGTGTACACAGGGTGTGTACATGTGTGGGTGTGTGCACAATGCCTGTGTTACGGGTCTGTGTAGGTGGCTGTTATGTGTGTGCGTGCGTGTATACATCATGCAGCGATGGGACGTGGAGACCCAGGATCGCACAGTACGCTCATCAGGTTTGCTCTGTGTGTATACACGTGTGTGTGCTACGTTTTCGGTATGTGTCACTGCATGAAGCACTAATAACAGCATGTCCTGTGTTTCTGTCACTGTGCCCCCTTTTCCTATGTGTTTCTGCTCTTCTTTGTGGCATTAAGAGTCTTTGTAAGTATAAGTGTGTGTGGCCTCTGTGTATCTGTGATTTATATGTGAGTTCATGGATCTTAGTTTCTGGTAATATGTGTAAGGTTATATTACTTCCAAGAATTAAGCAAACCAATTAGCAAATCCGTTCTGCTTCTGTTGATTCTTTAGTTCCAAAGCAAAATTTTAGTGGATTTAAAGTTAGACTTTATGCCTTTATTAGAGGAGCTTGCATATGAAAATAATGCCTGAGCTAGATTCCCTGGAGTGAGAGTGAGGCAGCCATACCTGAGAAATGCAGAGACTAGGAAAAAGATACCCTGAACCCTTTTGTGCATTGTTGAGTGTGTAACAGAAGGATAATTAACGCATTTGCTCCTTGGCTTTTCTTTGTTCTGGTAGCAGTCACGGAGTCAGGGAAGGGCTGGGGGAGAAAAAGGGGTTGTCCTGAGACAGAGCGGATGTGGGTGTACTTTTCATGTGAATGAAGGATGCTTGTGCTTTTGGGATACGGGGACACCTTGATGTCGTCGGGATCGTGGTGTACTCAAGTGTGTATCTTAGAAGTTAAACTGCCTTCCCTTGTGGGGGGCCATGTGTATGTCTCAGGGTTAAATGTCCATTTCTGTAGTGTGCTGCCCACATGATGGCCTGGGGAACTCGGGCCACATGTCCACGCCAGCAGCTCTCATGTGGGTGTCTGGGTCCAAGTATGTACTCTCCTGTTGCAGTGCTCACATATGTCTAAGTGTGTATCCCATGGGGTATGTGGGCCTCAGGGTCTCAGAATGTGGATCCGTGGCACCCCCGTGCTCACAGTTGTCTGTGTGTCTCATAAGCACCTAGATCTCTATTTATTTTTTGTATTGTAGTTCTCATATACACATAGCCCCCACAGCTCACTGTATGTTTCTGTGTTCTACACATTTGTTCCTGAGGGACTGAAAAGGGTTCCTGTGTCACGGGGACCACATTTTTGTGTGCAGACCCCCTAACACCTGGGTTTTAGAGGCAAAGGAAAGCTGGGGACTGATTCTAGGGCAGTTTGCGGGAGATTTGCAATTCTGGAAGCAAACAGTGAAAATGTAGCTGTGGCCCTTCCTTGTTCTGGAACCTAGAGGGTTAACAGGCAGCTCTTCCGGTCCACCCGCCCCCCAAGCCTGTAGCTTCTTGTTGCCGTGGAGATGGTAGCCCCGCCCCTGATGCAGCACCTGCCCCCCCATTGGCTGCAGTGGTGACTGTGGGGCTGAGGGGGGAGCCCAGGCCTGGGCAGCCATTCTGGAGCTGGAGCCGGAGCTTGGCATCCCCCCACTTTCATTCTCATCTAGCCCCTCGGCCCCTCTAAATTCCTTGGCAGCAGAGCCTCAGCCTCCCTCCTCGGAGCTGCCACCCTTCTAGACTCTTGGCAGGCTGAGCTTCATCTGCATTCACCTCCCCTCCTCCTCCTCCTCTCCCTACCCTCACTTGGGAGTCCCCGAACCCCCACTGCCCATCCTCCCCACCCCCCTGCATTCATCTTTTCTCCCCTTCCCCCCTTCCCTTCTGAGTCCCTGCCACTGCAGTGCACGTGGAACCGACTCTTCCTCCCCTCCCCCCCGTCTGCCCCTTCCTTGAATTTTCTGTCCCCAGCCTTCTTCCCCTGCTACTCCTCATAGGTCTCTCCCAAGACATCCCCCCTCCAGTCCAGGGAGGGGGTCATGGGAGGCAGCCCTGGTCCTCCAGACAGACAGGGATTCCAGGAGGGGAGGGCAGGTGGAAGATGTGCCCAGCTGAGGGAAGAGGAAAGCTTGCCTGTGGGCAATGACCTTTAACCCAACTTTCCCCCCCAGCTAGCCCCTTCCTGGGGGGGTGAGCACCAAGGGCCTAGCTTCTGTGGATTTTTGGGGTCCTTTATCACTGGGGTTTTACTGACCCTCCCAGCCATGCCCCTCTGCTGACAGCCAGCCCCAGTCATGGGCCTAAGGCCTCCCACCCCGTCCCCCTCGGGGGGCTCCGGCTCGGGTTCCTTGCCCCCTCCTTCCCGCCGCCAGCCTCTCAGCCGCCGCTGCTCTTCCTGCTGCTTTCCGGGGGGTAGGTGAGGCTGGAGCTGAGGGGCAGAGGGAGGGGGGTGAATGTGCTGGGGCCAGGGGTGGAAACCCGGACTAACAGCGACCCCCTCCCCAACTTCCCTTCTGGCCCTTTCCTCTCGTCCAGAATACCACTTGGGTCGCTCGAGGAGGAAGAGCGTCCCAGGGGGGAAGCAGTACAGCATGGAGGCCGCCCCCGCTGCGCCCTTCCGGCCATCGGTGAGTGAGTGAAGGCGCCTGCCAGGTGTGGCTCAGCTGGGACCCCTCCCCTCCAGCCCCAGCTGGAGCCCCAGGATTCTGAGAGGGGGCAGGAGGGGGAGAGTGAGAGAGAGAGTGTGTGTGTGTGTCTCCCCACCTCTTTGGTTTTCCCCTTCTTGGCTCTGCCCCCCTGCTTCTCAGACCAGTCCTCCCACCTTCTCCAAGCTGGTGTGTGTGTGTTTGTGTGTGTGCTTGCACCCGTGGGAGCAAAGGAAGACACACTGGTAGCAGGGCTTCTATCCCCTTTTCCTCGCCTCTAGAGACTTCCCTTTTCCCCCCATCCCACCTTCATCCAGGAACTCTTTACCAGCTGAGGGGTGAGTAGGTAGAACTGACCCTGCCCCAACCCACCCCTACCCCATTTTCACCCCCAGCAAGGCTTCCTGAGCCGGAGGCTAAAAAGCTCCATCAAACGCACAAAGTCACAACCCAAACTTGACCGGACCAGCAGCTTTCGCCAGATCCTGCCTCGCTTCCGAAGTGCTGACCATGACCGGTACAGGGGCTGGAGTGGGTGGGATGGGGGTTATCTGAGTACAGAGGTGAAGGCCTCAGATTGGTTGAGGGATGTTATGGGGCAGAGAGGCAGGAGAGGGCTAGGGAGCAGGGAGAGGATGAGCAGAGTCAGGAAAGAGAATGAAGGTGAAACCAAGGAGGGACTCTTCTGGCTGACAGAAGGAGCTGTAGAGAAAGACAGAGAAGGAGTGACAGAGCCTAGGAGGAACATTTAAGGACTCGAGGGAAGGGGTGGTGGGTTGGTAGGAGAGGGAGGATCTAGGTAGAAGGGTATGAGGGAAGGGCAGCAGGTTGGCATGGGGCTGGGGCTGGCAGATACTAATGGATGAGGGAAGGGACAGCATAGAGCCTGACAGAGACAGAGAAGGCTGGCACAGGTATGCAGGTTGACAGAGTGGGGGGAGGCTGTGGTCAATGCATGGACTGAAGCACGAGGAAGAAGCCCTCAGAGAAGTCCAGAGGGCACTGCCTCTGAGGCCGGGGTTGCAGGAGATCTGATGTTTGCTTCTGTTGTCTGCTGCTTGCGGTCCCTCTGTGGGTTTCCCCCTCACCCAGTCACTCCCCAGGGAGAACCCTGTCCTTCCTTTCCCCCATGTCTGGCCGCCCCCAGGATTGGGCAGGTAGGGAGGTTGGGATAGGTGAGTCACACCTTTCCCTGCCCCCCACCCATGTCACCAGAGCTGGATTTGGGGCTGGCGGGGGGTGAGGGCATGGTATTCCTGGCCGCGGGGGTGGGGGGCCGGGGGAGCGTCGCGCTGACGCCCGAGATGACGGGGCTGCTATAAATAGCTTCATGGAGGCTCCCACACCCGAGCTCCCCCTCCCGCTTCCCTACTGCTCTCCACTCTTCATCCCCTGGCCATCTCCATCCCCCTCACTCTCCTGTGCCTCCTCTCCTGTGCCCCCATCCTCCATTATCCTCCATTCTCCCTCAGCCCCTTTCCTTCTGCCCTCCCATGGTGACTGTCCGGTTTCATCCCCTGTGTCTCCCATCTCTGTTCCCACGTCCGTCTCTCCAGCTGTCCCTCCTCATCTTCTCCATCCTCCGTCTCTCTGCACATATCCTTGCCTCCTTCTTTCCTGCTTCTTGTCCTGTCCCCATTTTCAGTTTCTTGTCTTCATTCTCATTTTTCTGCCCACAGTTTTCTCCTGTTTCTTGTGATTTTCTCTCAGTTTTTCCCTTGATTCTGCTAAAACTTGTCCTCTTACCTCATTCAATCATTCTGTAAATCATTAAATGTTTTTTAGGCACTAGCTGTGTGTCAGGCCCAAACAGACATCTTTGTACTTCTGGTTTTTTACTTTCACTTTTCTCCTTGTATTGAGGCTCTGGTTTGGGAGGGTCACCTAGAAGCCCCACCTACAAGTGTCCCAGGCCCACCTGTTCTCTTTTTTTTCTGCCATGGTCCATTTCTGGCTTGAGATATTTCTAGGTGTCCCCAGTCCTCACAACCCCTTAGGTGTGAACTGGAGGGAGGGGGTTTCTTGAAAGGTCTGGTTTCTCTCACATCCCTCATGTCCTTCCCCAGGGATGGGCTGGATTTCTTTCTGTCTGTGTCCCTGTGGGATGGGGGTTCAGGAGGCCCTTTCCCCAAGTCTCCATCCTAGAGCCAGACTGATGATGCAGGCCCCCGGGTGTGTAAGAAGAATGGGGGCCCTGATCCTCTCTCCTGAACCCCCTGCCTGCCAGGGCCCGGCTGATGCAGAGCTTTAAGGAGTCACACTCTCATGAGTCCTTGCTGAGTCCTAGCAGTGCAGCTGAGGCCTTGGAGCTCAACTTGGATGAAGATTCCATTATCAAGCCAGTGCACAGCTCCATCCTGGGCCAGGAGTTCTGTTTTGAGGTACTGGGTCTAGTGGGCCGGGGAAGGCTGAAGGGCAGGGGTGATGAGGGTGAGGGCAGAGAGGCCTGGAGGAGGTGGCACAGGTGGGGACGTCAAGGGAATAGAAACCTCTGGAGCTGGGAGGATAGGCCAGGGAGGAAGAGATAGTGGTGGAGGCTCCAGTCCTCAGGAGTCACCTCCCCTCCAGAGCCCCGTCTCAACTCCACACCCCTCTCTAGGTAACAACGTCATCAGGAACAAAATGTTTTGCCTGTCGTTCTGCGGCCGAAAGGGACAAATGGATCGAGAATCTACAGCGGGCAGTAAAACCCAACAAGGTATTGGGAGTAAAGGGGACACAAACAGCACGGGCAAGGCAAAGGTCAAGCCACAGGGAAGCTGGGAGCGTAGAGGAGAGGAAAGCTAAAGGAAGGGAGACTTGGGGGAAGAGGGGACCGAGGTGGAGGGGACCTGGATAAGCGGGAGGTGACCCTCATCTTTTTTTGAGTCCCTCATTTCTTTTCCCTTTCTTTCTACTTCATGATCTGTTTCCTTACCATAGAAATCATAGACTTATGGAGTTGATGGGGCTCTGCAAGGCTTCTGGTCCGTCTTCCTTGCAGGTAGAAATACCCTGCTAATAACCTGACAGGCGGTTGCCCAGCCCCCGCGCAGCGGTTTTGCAGGACAAGTGATTGTCGGCTAGCCATGTCTCTAGACCTTGGTTTCCTTTCTGTAAAACTGGTGGGAATGGGGTTGGAAGAGATGATCTCTAAAGTGTCTTTGGCTCAGCAATTCTACGAGTCTGTGTTCTTCCCAAGACTTCTGTTTCCCAGGAGAAAGGCTCCTAGTTCTGTCAGCTCTTCTCTATATCCCAGTTTCCAGAGAGCTCATAGTTCTGGTGACCCTTCTTTGGGAGATCCCTTGTTTCTCAATATCTTTCTTAAAGAATTAGACCCAAGATGCTCAATGCGATCTAACCCATGCACCCTGCTCCAGACACCAGACACCATGCTCCTTCCACATTGCGACATCGCCTGAGCCTCACCACGAGCTTGTGGTCAGTTGTATCCTCTTAAGCCCTTTTCATACTAACTATATAGCCTCACTCATCCTGTATTTGTGCAATTCTATTTTTTTTGGAATTAACTTCTAATTGTCTTTGAAAGACTCCCCACTTCTCCCTTTGAAGCTCCCCCTTAATATTTTTGGTTTGTTTTTCTAGCTTTTAAAATCTTCCCCAATACTGTTTCTATTATCTGGTGTATGAGCTACCCTTCAGTAGTAGTTTCCTAGGGCTGCTGTAACAAATTATCACAAAGTGGGTTGCTTAAAACAATAGAACTTTATTCTCTCACAGTTCAGGAGACTGCAAGTCCAAAATCAAGGTGTTGGCAGGGCTTTGCTCCCTCTGAAGCTCTAGGAAGAATCTTGCCTCTTCATAGCTTCTGGTGGTTGCCGGCAGTCTTGGGCATTCCTTGACTTGTAGCTGCATCTGTCCATTTTCTGCCTCCCTCTTCACATGGCCGTCTTCCCTCTGTGTGTCTCTGGTCTCCAAATCTCCCTCTCCATGTAGACACCAGTCATTGGATTTAGGGCCCACTCTCATCCAGTATGAGCACATCTTAATATAAGTATATCTGCAAGGACCCTATTTCCAAATAAGGTCTCATTCAGTGGTTCCGAGTGGACATGAATTTTGGGGGCAATCTGTTCAATCCAGTACACCCTTCTCAGCCTTATGTTTGTTGTCTCATAGACTGTCTCACTTTCTCACTGGCTCTCCTCTTTTGGTGTCTCTGTCTCTCTGTCCCTTCCCCTTTATCCGCGGTGCTCACCCCACCATGCCAGGACAACAGCCGCCGGGTGGACAACGTGTTGAAGCTGTGGATCATAGAGGCCCGGGAGCTGCCCCCCAAGAAGCGGTACTACTGTGAGCTCTGCCTAGATGACATGCTCTATGCGCGCACCACCTCCAAGCCCCGCTCGGCCTCAGGGGACACCGTGTTCTGGGGCGAGCACTTTGAGTTTAACAACCTGCCGGCGGTCCGTGCCCTGCGGCTGCATCTCTACCGTGACTCTGACAAAAAGCGCAAGAAGGACAAGGCGGGCTATGTCGGCCTGGTGACTGTGCCCGTGGCCACCCTAGCTGGGCGCCACTTCACAGAGCAGTGGTACCCCGTAACCCTGCCAACAGGCAGTGGGGGCTCCGGGGGTATGGGGGGCTCAGGTGGGGGCGGGGGCTCGGGGGGCGGCTCAGGGGGCAAGGGCAAAGGAGGTTGCCCGGCTGTGCGGCTGAAAGCACGTTACCAGACAATGAGTATCCTGCCCATGGAGCTGTATAAGGAGTTTGCAGAGTATGTCACCAACCATTATCGGATGCTGTGTGCAGTATTGGAGCCTGCCCTGAACGTCAAGGGCAAGGAAGAGGTTGCCAGTGCACTGGTTCACATCCTGCAGAGTACGGGCAAGGCCAAGGTGAGTGCTGTGCCCTCAGGAAAAGGTGACCTGGGAGTGGGCACTTGCTTGAGGGGACAGTGAGGCTAGGGCACTTCTGTCTTCACGAGCTTGGCTTGTGCAGAGGCTGACCCTTGGATTTTTCTGGGCCCCAGGACTTCCTTTCAGACATGGCCATGTCTGAGGTGGACCGGTTCATGGAACGGGAGCACCTCATATTCCGCGAGAACACGCTCGCCACTAAAGCCATAGAAGAGTACATGAGACTGATTGGTCAGAAATACCTCAAGGATGCCATTGGTATGGCCCACCCTCAGGTCCTCTTCCCAGACCCACCAGATGCCACCCCAACCCTAAACCTGGCTACTCTAGACCCCAAGTCCACCTTCCTCAGCTTGATGCTTCCAAGCCCAGAGTCCCTGGACTCTAGCCTCCAACCACACGATTCCAAGATTCCCCCAACCCAGGTAGTCCGTGTCCCTGCCCTTGGAAAGTGTGACCACCCCCGTTGTGCCCCCACCCCCTCCCCCAGGGGAATTCATCCGTGCTCTGTATGAGTCCGAGGAGAACTGTGAGGTGGACCCCATCAAGTGCACGGCGTCCAGTCTGGCAGAGCACCAGGCCAACCTGCGAATGTGCTGTGAGTTGGCCCTGTGCAAGGTGGTCAACTCCCATTGGTGAGACTGGGAACGCTGGGTTGGGGGGCCGGGGTCAGGGGAGTCGTGTGTTCATCCGTTCATCCATCTGTCCATCCTCAAAGAGGACTGAGTACCAGTTACGGGCAAAGCGTTGTGCTGGGTGCTGTAGAGCACTCAGAGGAATGAGGGCTGGCCGCTGCCCTCAGAGGACCTCCACCAGAATGAGGGACAAATTAGAGACACCAAGGGCCACAGAACAGTTGTAGTATGTGTTAAATGCCGAGGGAAGGTCCCCCCATACAACCTAAGGTCAGAGAAGGCAGAGCTTTGCTTGCAATAAGCAGGGAAGTCTTTGTGGAGGAGATGCCCCTGGGCTGGGCTTTAAAGACTGGGTCAGGTTCTGATGTATGGATATGGTGGGCAAAGAATACATTCCAGCAGGCTATGGGCCAGGCGCATGCATGGAGGTGAAAGGCCCAGGAGCTTTCAGGGGACAGCAGTTAGAACAGGTTTAACAGAGCACATGGCTCATAATGGAGAGTGGTGGGAGAGATGTCTGGACGGGGGTTTGGAGTTAGACTCTGGAAGGCCTCAGCTGCCAGGTTCAGGAGTTTGAGTTCATTGGTAGGTCATGGGATGCCATTAATGGTGCTGATGCCAGGAAGTATCATGACTGAGAAGATTAATCCTTGAGTAGAGTGGAGGGCAGAGGTTGACTAGAGTCAGGAGAATGAAGTCCAGGCTAGTTGGGGGCTGTTGTTCATGGATCAGGCATGAAAGTCAGATCTTGAATCCGGATGGTGGCAGGAAAGTAGAGAAGGGGCTGCTGTAAGGACCCCCTGAGGAAGGGATCTGCAGGACTTTTCAACTGACTCTTAGGGAGGGGGCATGTCTGTGGGGAGCTGAGCCCATGAGGCTGGTGTTGGGGAGACCTGTGGCCTCACTGACAGAACCAGGGAAGTCAGGAGGAGGAGCCTGTTGGAGGTGTGGGGGCGATGGTGAGCTCTGCTTTACTGCAGTCAGAGTTTAAGGTGTCAATGGAACACTGAAGTGGAACAGGGAGGTGTGGGGAGTGTGAGCTCTGAGCCATTCCAGGGACTGGGGATCATGCCAGGGGCACCTCCATCCCCATTTCCCTGGAATCCAGAAGAGTTGGGGGGTCCGAGCTCCCTGTACCTCAAGTGACCCTCCATCTCTCTCCCATCTCTGTCTCTCCCTGGTGTCTGTTTTTCTTCTCCCCCTCTCCTTGTCTCTCTCACACATCCTCCGTCTCTCTCCCGCGTGTCTCTCTCCGCTCACCTTCTCTCCTCCTCCATTTCTCTCTCCCTAATCTGTCTCCTCTGCCACAGCCCTCTTCTTCCAGCAGCCTCCCGTCTTCCTCCTGCAGTCCCTCCCTCCCTGTCTCTCTCACCTGTTTCCACACCCTCACCTCCTACCACCCCCCTCAGCATGCTCCCTGGAAGCTGAGGGTCTCTGGGGCTCAGTCCCGGTCTCTCTCTTTCTTTCTCTCTCTCTCTGTCTCCCCACCCCTTCCCCCCAGCGTGTTCCCGAGGGAGCTGAAGGAGGTGTTTGCGTCGTGGCGACTGCGCTGCGCAGAGCGGGGCCGGGAGGACATCGCTGACAGGCTGATCAGCGCCTCGCTCTTCCTGCGCTTCCTCTGCCCAGCCATTATGTCGCCCAGTCTCTTTGGGCTCATGCAGGAGTACCCAGATGAGCAGACCTCACGAACCCTCACCCTTATCGCCAAGGTCATCCAGAACCTGGCCAACTTTTCCAAGTGAGGGAAGCCTCAGGCAGGGGGTAGGGGAGGGCTGGGGGTGGGCCGGAAAGGTCTCCTGACTCCCTAGAGACCCTGAGACAGGGTGGGTATGAGGCCTTGTGTGTGTGACCTCTGCCTTTTGGATGTCTTGGCCAGGTTTACCTCAAAGGAGGACTTTCTGGGATTCATGAATGAGTTTCTGGAGCTGGAGTGGGGTTCCATGCAGCAGTTCCTGTACGAGATCTCCAACCTGGACACGCTGACCAACAGCAGTAGCTTTGAGGGTTACATCGACTTGGGCCGAGAGCTCTCCACACTGCATGCCTTGCTCTGGGAGGTGCTGCCCCAGCTCAGCAAGGTCAGCAAATGCCCCTCTGCCCCGTCCCCAGCTGTCTCCAGAGGCTTCTGTGGCCTGAGAGAGCACCCCCTGCACACATTTTTCTCCCCCCTGTTCCCAGATGTATCACCACCACTCTCCCCAGCTCAGACACCCTCTGAGGCCCTCTTAGAGCTGGGCATATAGCCCCCAGGTAATAGCCTCACCCTTCCAGGAAGCCCTCCTGAAGCTGGGCCCGTTGCCCCGGCTCCTCAATGACATCAGCACAGCTCTGAGGAACCCCAACATCCAAAGGCAGCCAAGCCGCCAGAGCGAGCGGCCCCGGCCTCAGCCCGTAGTGCTGCGGGGTCCATCAGCCGAGATGCAGGGCTACATGATGCGGGACCTCAACAGGTGAGCACCCGGGACCCCCACACTTATGCCCCAGGAGCCCCTCCTTTTCTGTTGTGGATACACTTCACTCTAGGGCTTGAAAGAAAGGGAAAAGAAGCAAGTTCTCAGAGAAAATGGTAAGGAGACAGGTACAGTCAGTGGTTAGGCTGCGAGTCCTTTAAAGCCAGAGGGAGCCCCAGGAGAAGTGCGGAGGCTCCTCCAGCTTGTTGTAAGCCTAGGGGGTCTGGCTGTCCCAGAGCTGCGGTTCAGCCAGTGCATGCTGGATCAGCGATGTGGTGTCAAAACGTGCAAATATCTCTGTACTAGCTGGTAAATAGGCACTACCCCCAGCCTCCCACCAGAACCCCACAGACCTCGCCACGATCCAGCACTAGAGAAGTAACACCTGGACCCTAGCGGGGCCTCCCAAGCCACAGCATCCGTTCCGATGGGACGGCGCCGGGCCTCAGCTGCTGCTCACTGTTTGATGACCGCCCGGCTTGTTCCTCTGCCCTGTCTCTCCCTCCACGATGCCATACCCATTCCACCATTCCCACTTCTCCTTCCATTCGTCCATGCCTTCTGCCCACCTCTCTCATTCTCTGTCTGTGCTCGCCCCTCTTTCCATCTCTCTCCAGCTCCATCGACCTTCAGTCCTTCATGGCTCGAGGCCTCAACAGGTGAGGGGCTCTCCCCTCCCCCGCCCTCCTCTCCTCTCCTGTCTGCTCCCCCTCCCCCACTCCAATGGCCTTCACCTTCCTCCTCTCCTCTTCTCCTCCATGCACCCTCATCTCCTCCATATCTGCCCAGACCTGCCCCTCATCCCTCCTCTTGCTGCCCCCTTCTCCCCTCCTCTAGGCCTCCCTCCCTGCTTGGAGGGGCCTTGTCCTTGCCTTCTGCCCACATCTCCCCTCCCGTCCTCCCTACTGCCCTCTCCAGAGCTGCCGCTGCCAGCTCTCAGCCCTTCCCTGTGGGTCCCACTTTGCACCCCAAGGCCTGTGCCAGACCACAGCAAGTCCATCAGCAGCAGCCTTGGCCTTACCTTCCTGCTTGTGTGCCCCCTTCCCTTCCCACAGCTCTATGGACATGGCTCGCCTCCCCTCCCCAACCAAGGAAAAGCCGCCCCCACCACCCCCTGGTGGGGGGAAGGACGTGTTCTATGTCAGCCGTCCACCTCTGGCCCGTTCCTCGCCAGCATACTGCACGAGCAGCTCAGACATCACAGAGCCAGAGCAGAAGATGCTGAGTGTCAACAAGAGTGTCTCCATGCTGGATCTGCAGGGCGATGGGCCCGGTGGCCGCCTAAACAGCAGCAGTGTGTCCAACCTGGCGGCCGTCGGGGACCTGCTGCACTCGAGCCAGGCCTCCCTGACAGCGGCCTTGGGGCTGCGGCCGGCGCCTGCTGGACGCCTCTCCCAGGGGAGTGGCTCGTCCATCACTGCGGCTGGCATGCGCCTCAGCCAGATGGGCGTCACCACGGACGGTGTCCCTGCCCAGCAACTGCGTATCCCCCTCTCCTTCCAGAACCCTCTCTTCCACATGGCTGCTGATGGGCCAGGCCCCCCAGGGGGACACGGAGTGGGCGGTGGCCATGGCCCACCCTCTTCCCATCACCACCATCACCACCATCACCACCACCGAGGTGGAGAGCCCCCAGGGGACACCTTTGCCCCATTCCATGGCTATAGCAAGAGTGAGGACCTCTCCTCAGGGGTCCCCAAGCCCCCTGCTGCTTCCATCCTTCACAGCCACAGCTACAGTGATGAGTTTGGACCCTCTGGCACTGACTTCACCCGTCGGCAGCTCTCACTCCAGGACAACCTGCAGCACATGCTGTCCCCTCCCCAGATCACCATTGGTCCCCAGAGGCCTGCCCCCTCAGGGCCTGGAGGTGGGAGCGGTGGTGCGGGCAGTGGCGGGGGTGGCGGGGGCCAGCCGCCTCCGTTGCAGAGGGGCAAGTCTCAGCAGTTGACAGTCAGCGCTGCCCAGAAACCCCGGCCATCCAGCGGGAATCTGTTGCAGTCACCGGAGCCGAGTTACGGCCCTGCCCGTCCGCGGCAACAGAGCCTCAGCAAGGAGGGCAGCATTGGGGGCAGCGGGGGCAGCGGTGGCGGAGGGGGTGGGGGGCTCAAGCCCTCCATCACCAAGCAGGTAGGTGAGGGTGGGAGGAAGGAGGGATGGGTGAAGAGCAGCGAGGGAAGAGGAAATGGGATGGAGAATTGGGGGTAGAATAGAGTCTGTGGTCTGAAGTTCCTCACAATTGTCTCACCTCCTTTCGTTCATTAAACAAATGCGTATAGAGTGCCCGCTCTGTGCCATGTGCTGTTCTGGCACTGTGGATTCGGCAGTGAACAACAGACAAAAATCCCTGCCCTCACGGAGCTCACGTTCAGAGGGGAGACATGATAAATAACGCACATAGCAGTCGCGAGGTGACCAGTGCCAGAGCAGGGGAACAGGGTGGGGACTGTCACCTCTTCTGGCAGTGCTCTCCCTCTCAGTGCACCCTGCCTTCTCCCACCTTCCCTCTCTCCCTCTGTCCCCACCTTGCCTTGTCCCAGCACTCTCAGACGCCATCCACGCTCAACCCCACGATGCCAGCCTCCGAGCGGACAGTGGCCTGGGTCTCCAATATGCCTCACCTGTCAGCTGACATCGAGAGTGCCCACATCGAGCGGGAAGAGTACAAGCTGAAGGAGTACTCCAAGTCGATGGATGAGAGCCGGCTGGACAGGGTACGCTGGGCCCACCGGCCCCACACCCGCTTTGTCCTTCTTGCCCCTGGGAGGCCTCTAGTCATTGCCAAGGGAAGTGTCCAGGGTCAGGCAGTTATGATGGAAAGAAAAGACAAAGACCTGCTCCTGTCTCTTGAGAAGCTTCAGTCTATTAGGGGAGACCAGATACAATCAGTCCATTGAAAAGCCAATTTCAACTCTATTTTGTGGATTATACACATTGTAGACTATCTGGGGAAAACATGTTCTATCTTAGGCTTACCTCCGTATTCTTCCCCAGGGAGAACATAAGCCCTGGCTCTTAAGATTGCTACCAGCAGTGTGAGCTGATAAATTGGGCAGGGGCAGAGGGGCTACATTATGCTACAAGCAATGTCTGGCTTACCCAGTCACTGTCCCATGGGCACTAGTGACAGAGGGTCAGTGTTCGAATGCGGTGTGTATTGGCCCGTTTGTGGAAAGACCATCCAGACTCTCAGCTGGTGATGGCCCAGAGCAAAAGACAATAAGAGCCCTGGGGAACACACAGATAACTTAGCAGAAAGTTGCTTGGGGACACTATTGTTCCCAGGACCCTGAGGCAGAGGGTGGCTGCAGGATTAGGTTGTATGTAAAGAATGTATGGCTCCAGCTTGGGGGAGCAGAGCAGTGTCTTGGGGGATGTGGTCTTTAAGCATAGGAAAATGTTGGGATTAATTTAGATGGACTTGGTCCAGCAAATTCCATGAGAGAATTAAGCCCTGATGCCCCAAGGTAGCCATCGTAGGCAATCAATTAATGTCTGTCCTTTGTATCCAGAATGGGGTTCATTGTGTATGTACCCTCTTCGGAGAATGAGAAAGTAGTCTCTCAAATCATTTTCTCTGTTCTGTGGTTCAGATGAGGAATCTTTGTCGAGGGAGGCTCTAGACTAGTACTGTCCAGTAGAACTTTCTGCAGTGATGGAAATATTCTATAGTCTGCACTGTCCAATACGGTAGCCATTGGCCACATGTGGCTGGTGCAATTGAGGAACTGAATTTTTAGTTTTATTTAAATTTTAAGTAGCCATATGTGGTTAGTGGCTATTGTGTTGAATTGGATAGCACAGCTCTCAACTTCAGAGCCCTGGGCAGATAAATGACTCTATAGGGCAGATGAAATGACTCTTCTGAGCCCTCTCAGCCCCAGAATTCCAGGGTCATTATCCACAGAGAGGCATTGCTGGATTCTGAGCCTGGACTCACTTGAAGCCCAGACACCCTGTCCCCAGGACAGAGCCTTTCCCCTCCCTAGACAATGTCTTTTTTTCCTGGTTTCCCCCATGTGCTCTGGAGCCTGGGCTGGGGCTGAGGAATCACCTTAGGTGTAATTTTGGGGTACAGTCACTTGAGATGTGTCTGTGAGTCTGCCTAGGTTCCTGTGTGGGTCCTCATCTGTCCAGATGCACATGTGAGGACATGTATATACCTCTCAAGGTGGGGGAGTCTATGACTTGCTCCATTTTGAGGGAACCTCAGCTCTATGGAAGGGCCTTCTCAAAAGTGAGCATGTGTATGATTCACAGGCGGGGGAAGGGCTGGAGAAGGCGGTTGGGATCTCCCTCGCAAGGCAGTGGCTGTGCCTGGCAGGCAGGGATGGAGGCTGGGTGGTGGGATCATGGCAAGGTGCCCCTCACAGTGCGGGGTCGTGTGCCCGGCGGGCAGGTGAAGGAGTACGAGGAGGAGATCCACTCACTGAAGGAGCGGCTGCACATGTCCAACCGGAAGCTGGAAGAGTATGAGCGGAGGCTGCTGTCCCAGGAAGAACAGACCAGCAAAATCCTGATGCAGTATCAGGCCCGACTAGAGCAGAGCGAGAAGAGGCTAAGGCAGCAGCAGGTGGAGAAGGACTCGCAGATCAAGAGCATCATTGGCAGGTGAGGAGCGGCCCGGGGAGGGGTAGCGAGGGAGAGTCTGAGGCTGAAGAGAGCCAGTGAGCTCCCCCTCCAGCCCCCCAACTCAGGACACCATGAGGAAAGCCCACCATCCTCCTCCCAGGGATGCCACCCACTCACCCATCACTAGAAGGGGAGAAACCTCTTGCTTAGTGCATTAAATGTCTGTTTACCAATGCTGATCTCTCTCCTGATAGAGTCACTTCTAAAGCCCTTGGAAAATGTGCGTTACTGTCCAACCATCACTATGTGTCTGGACCCAGCCTAGGCTGGGACTACCCATTGGTTATTCTCAACCCAACCTGTGATGTTCACCCCGAACCTAAGCAGGGATCCCTAGCCAGAGTAGCCCCTGACCATCCCCATCCTGGGCGGGCCCTCTCTCTCCAGCCTTGGAAAAGTGTTCCGTCAGAAAATAAGTAACCCTTACTTCATAAAGCCTGTGCACATTTTCAATTGCTCTGCCAAGCTCTGGGCTCCAAAGGAAGTGTCTCAGCAAGGGGTCAGTTATCTTGAGAACTTGGCAGGACCCCAGGCCCCACTCCAACTAGAGCCAGCATCATTTTGATCCATTCTAAAATTATTTTTGAGTAAGTTTTAATTAGAAGAAAAAGGCTTGACTTGAAACCTTTTTTGAAAACCACTGCTCTCATTGATACCCTTTATGAGAAATCACCTTAAGAATCTCTGTCAAAGGCAGGGACATCTGAGAATAATAGTGATTGTAGAGATCCCTCTTGGGCAAAGGGTGCCTCTCAGGGGCTGCACTGGAGATGGCCTAGGTTCAGTGGAATGGGGGACATAGAAGCCAGGTCTTCAGCCACAGAGGTTCAATGGGAGGGCACTGTCCTGAATGGAAGAATGGAGGGCCAGGGGTGTCTGGGTGATAGAGCTCTTAGAGCCCCATAAAGCTGCCCTTAGCAGGGAGACGTGAGGGACCCTGAGAGGAAGGTGAATAACAGGGAGTCTTTTGGCTTGGGGAGGGATTGAGGGAGAGAAGAGAAGGATACCTGAGGCTTTTCCAGGGAGCTGCAGGGGTTCCCTGGTATCAGAAGTTACATGGGCAGGCTCCGAGCCCGTGCCCGCCACTAACCCCACTGAAGCCCGTCCCTTCAGGCTGATGCTGGTGGAGGAGGAGCTGCGCCGGGACCACCCCGCCATGGCTGAGCCGCTGCCCGAACCCAAGAAGAGGCTGCTCGACGCTCAGGTGGAAATTACAATGTCATTTATCTTCTCCGTGTCCCATCCCCATCCATCCCACTGTCCTTCGTGCACTCACTGCACCAGCCACCCCAGCCCCATCGCCATCTGTCTCTCCCACAGTCTTCCATTTGTCCACTGGCTGCTCCCAGCAGCCCCTCAGTGACCCCATCTTCATCCCATCGTCTGTGCCTTTGTCACTCCTGGCAGCGTCAGCCCACCCCCTGTGCCTTCCCACCCTGTCCTTCCCACTCCTGTGTGCGTCTCAGGATTTCTACCAGAACCTCGGCCTCTCTGCCCCCAGACCCCACCCAGGTCCCGAACCCCCTGCCCCTTCTGTGCCCACTCCTGTTCAAGTCAGGGAGCGCAGCTTCCTCTGAGCTCTTCTTGGGCCAAGAGGGCTAGAGGCTGCAGTTTGCTAGAACAGAGTACAGGGCAGTATGAGTTCTAGTTTCCCCCGGCTTTGGATGGTGCCCTGGGGAGTTGGGGTCCCCATCACCTCTGTTCTCTTGGCTCCCCAATTTTCCTGACTCCTTGGCAGCTCCCGTGTAGCTTCCTTTTCCTGACTCTTCAGATCTTGAGGGCCTCCCACCCTGTAAGCCTCTCCTTTCCCTCCGTGTTTAAGTCCAGCCTCCTTTGGCCTATCTCTCCCTCTGGTCCTCACACCTGACTGGCTTTCCAGCTCCCTGCTGCCCTCCTTCTCTTCTCATCAGCCAGCTTTTAGGAGCTCCCTCCTGCACCTTTACCCCTTGCTCTTCCCAAATTCTGCTCACTTTGCCATCCATGCTCCTCCTTCCTCTGCTCTGACCGCCAGGCTTCCCCACCACCGCCACTAAGGCTCCTGACCCCATGACCCCACTCTCTCCCCCTGCAGCTCCTCATCAGGTAACTCTCCTGGTTCCGCTTTGACCACGGGCGGAGGACACAGGGGGAGGTGACTCCGGACCACTGCAGGTTGGTCGTGAAGCCCACTCCCCTCCGACTCTCCAGAGCCTCTCCCCCCTCACTGCTGCCTTCCACACCTGAGAACCTCCACAGACCCTACCCTCCTGACACCTCCTGCACAGACCCACCTCCCAAGGCACTGCCCCAAGAGAGCACTTCCTGCTGCCTCCCTGAACTGTTAGTGATACCTTACCAGTACCAGGCACTTCCCCCTAGACAGGCTGGGCGCATCCCCAGATCACACTCCCTGCCTACACCCCCGCCCCAGCCTCCTCCTGACTCAGTCCTCTCCTCTCCCTCTCCAGTGTATGTCTGTCACCCCCCATTTCACCAGAGCGTGCTTGGGGGTTGGGATGTTGGGGGTGGAGTTTGTTAAAGGGGTGGTGGTGAATGGTGGGTTGGGGGACCCCGGCTAGAGGGGCTGTGCTGACTGCAGCAGGTAGGTTGGGGTTTCTTCTTCCTTCCCTAACCTTGGTTCTCTGCCCCTGCTCCTCCCACCCCCACCTGTTTCTCTTCCTCCTCCCTTACACCTGTGAGGTAGAAGGCATTGGGCTCCTAGTCGGCCCCATTGGGTGAGAATTGGGAGTGGGCAGTTAACTCACGGAGACTTTGGAGGGCCCTGGAAAGAATGCTGTTCAGGTGTCAGGACAGTAGGCAGGGTGAGTAAAGCAAGGAGAAGGAACAAGAAAGGAGCCTTGACAGATGTTAGGACATGGACTGGTCCATGTGGCGTGGGAGTTGGAAGTGGGGTAAGACGTCTTCCTAAATAACATCATGGGCTCAGTAGCCATGTTGCTTCCCAGGCAGAGATGCCAGGAACCGCATGTTAAATAATCTCTCTATTCTTCTTGTCAGAGCTCACATCCTGGGGTTGCTAATGCCACTCACTCCCCCTCTCCCGCCCCCCAGTGGCCTTGCTGGACACATAATCCTACCTAAAAAGCCAGTAAATGGGAACCTGTCAGCCACTGACATCATTTCTGAGTTGCTTTATTTTCTGTGGGGTTGATCTGCAGTGGGCAGTGGCTTCTCACACTGTAATTTTAACTCTGCCTGCCCAGCCTCTCTGTCAAAGTAGTTAGTGATCTGTAAACAGATGCTAAAAGGCACTAAGGGACCTCACCATTTACAGGACTCCTGCAGTGAATTCTTTTGTAAAATGAATAATGGCACCCTAATTTATCTGCTTTCTAAATTTGGGTCCATGGGGGTGTAGGGGGCATGCCTGTGTGCCGTTGCCAGCAGACATGCAGAGGGAAGGGAATCTGAGGTTTCCTTCCCCTGCTCTTCTGCCATACTCAGGATCCCCTGCCATACGTAATTTCCTCTCTTGCCGACTTGTGTAAAGTGTGTGATATGCTCAGCAAGCTAAGAGGGCAGCTTTGCTTAAGGCTGGGGTTTTGGTGACCTTCTGAGAGGTGAGCTCTTTGATTTGGAAGGGAGAGCTGATTTAGGAGCCTCCACTTGGAATGTGTTTGTTTCCTTTAGAGATATGGTCAGACATAACTGGGTTGCCAGGCCTAAATGACCTGTGGCCCAGGAAATAAATTTGGATACTTTTCTAAACCACTTTTAGGTACTGGTCCCTCTGCAACTCAGCCATTAATTTAAAAATTAATTTTGTGCCTCTATTTTAAAAAGTCAAGTGAGGGACCAGAAGTGTAGTACAGATGGCTTTCTTTTCTCCCAGCAGAGGAACAGAAGCCAGAGCTGAGGGCAGGAGCCAGGAGTTGGTCCAGGAGCGGCAGGGGGTGATAGAATAGGACCAGGGTGGGAGTAAGGTTTGGTACCCCTCACTCTCTAAGTGGGAGGCCACGGAGAGGGACTGAAAGGAACGCGGGGGTGGAAAGGAATGAAGCGTTTTTGCTTCCTGGGGATGCAGAGATTGGGGCATGCTGTGTCTCTGCAGAAGCTCCTAGTCGTTTCTGCCTCTGCTGTTAGCATGAGCGAGAGGCAGCCCTCCCACAGTATTTTTACCTTCCCACATCACTTCCCTGAATCCCCTTCCTTTCCCCCACCCAGCACAGTTAAACCTCTCTAATTTGGAATGTTATGTTTGAGAAGATGGCCACTCTGAATAAGTGACAAAACTGAATGACTGTGTCTATTTAATGAAATGCATGTTTTCAAAATATATACAGTAAGTAGAACTCAATGAACAAGGCTTTTCCACTTGAGGCCCTCAGGGAGCATGCGTTAATGAATACACAGGCCTGAAAAGTCTGTTTTCTGGTATAGGTTAAATATTCTCTCCCACAGGCACATTTCCACTATTAATTTGCTTAGCACACCCTTTCTTCACAGATAAAGGAAAACTCAAGCCCAGTTTTTGTTCAAATTATGAAAAAATTCCAAATCCATGGGGGTTTGGATTAATGAGGTTTTGCTGTACTGCCTCCCCTTGTTCCCTCAACACAAAGCTTCTACCTCGGATTGGGGGTGGGCTGGGAGGGGGTTCCAAGAGGAGGAGGGTGGGCTGGGCGCAGGAAGATAACAAGGGTTAGGTTGGGGGTGAGGTGGGAACTTGATTCTTTTGAACTGGTTTCCTGGTGTGAGTGACTCCCTGGGTTGAAGGCCCCTGTTAGGAGTCTGGGGTGAGATTCTCTTCTCTCTGATCCCAGAAGATGAGGATCTTTCTACTGCAGGTGAGAAAGAAAATAGGAAGGTGGGGGAGGGGGTGGATCTGGGGGAAGGGGGTGGACACAATTTATGGAGTGGGCTGGCTATGGGGGAGACCACTGCTAGGGGGCTGGCACCCAGGCCCCCGCGAAGCGTCTCAATAAGTCCGCGCTCTCCTCTTTGGTGTCTTGCAGGAGAGGCAGCTTCCCCCCTTGGGTCCAACAAACCCGCGTGTGACGCTGGCCCCACCTTGGAACGGCCTGGCCCCCCCAGCCCCGCCCCCCCCACCCCGGCTGCAGATCACCGAGAACGGCGAGTTCCGAAACACCGCAGACCACTAGCCCACCCAGCATCACAGACCTTGTTCTCCCTCCCCATGCACCCCACCCTGGAACAGCACCAACCACCAGGAATGGACGTCGCCGAGGGACAGCGGGATTGCCTCCCTGAATGCCTCCTTGGGGGGCACCAATCCTCCACCCCCACTGCACCATTTCCAGGAGGGAGAGCGGGGACCCTTAGCTGCCCCCTTTTCTTCCTGTTGGGGTGCTGCCCCGTGACCCCTAAGGACCCTTGCCCCAGGACACCACCTACCCCACACAGACCCCTTCACTCCGGGGTGCTATCCCCATCCTCTGCCTCATCGTTCCCCTGAGCACTGGGGGACAGACCCTCGCCCCCACCCTGGGGGTGTGGCACCTCCAAACTTTCAACTTCAGGGTGATTTTTTTAGCAGTAACCAGAGCTGACAATCTAACTCCCCTCCACCGCCCCATTTTGGCCTCCCCCTGTCCCCCTTGTTATGGGGAGGGGACCCCGGGTGAGGGGGCCCTATTACCCCTTGATTTCTCAGGAGCGTCTGGGGGGGCTCAGCACGCACAAACTCCTTCTCCTCTACCACTCTTAAATTTACTCCCTTCCCACCCAGAACCCAGATGGGGTGGAGGGGCCACCGGGGCAGGGAGGGGGCGGCAAGGGGGGAATGGGAGTTGTCTCCCGTTCCTCCCACACCTGATCTGCTCTTGGCTGGTCCCAGAGCGGGGTGAGGGGGCTTATGCCCCCCCCTCCCCCAGTGTGTTGGGTGGGGTGGAATTGAGGTTAGGGTGAAGGGTTAGGGTTTAGGAGGGTGTGTATGTTGGGGAGGACAGACTAGTTGATCTGCCCTCCCCTGACACACACAGTCCCCCCTGCCCCTCCCCTCTCTCTTCTTGGTCTCTACTCCCAGGGGGAGAGGGGAACTTACTCTAGGAAAAGCCATGTCTCTCTCCCCCAGGGTGGGGGGACCTGTGTTGGAGAAGGGGTGTTGGGGGCCCCCTTCCATGACTCTGTCCCCCGGGGGGAGGTAGGACAGGGCTGGGCTTCCCTCTCATCCTCCCCCCCTCCTCAATCTCCCTCCACCTCCCTCCCTCCCGCCAGCTCCACAATTTTTCGGTGTTTCTCTGTATATAGCTCTCTGGCGGGATAGGGGAGGTAGGATGGATGGGGTTTGGGGTGGGTACGTCATGGGAGGGGAAAAGCCCCTCCTTGGCACCCCCTCTTCCCTGACTGCTGTCCCCTACCCAGCCTTGCCCCCTCATCCCTTCTTGCGTTTGGTATTGAGACTCTTCCCAGACTCCACCCTTCTTTCTTTTGTATGGACAGTTCCCCTTCAGTCCCATCCCCCTACACACATACACCCAGCCGGGGCCAAATTTATACTTATATAAAAGTTGTAAATATGTGATATTTTATCCCTGTGCCCTGTCCTTGCTTTCCCAACCTCAGACCCTACCCCTGGACCCCTTTTCCTCCTCTCTTTGGCTGTTGTAATTATCTGGGGTTTGTACTGTACATATCCGGGGTGTGTGTGTGTGGGCTGGGGGCAACCCCTCTGTACAGAGCTTCCTGGCCCCCTCCCCTCCACGCTTCCCTCTTCACCCACCCCCCTAAGGGTAGGGAGATGCTCTTCCTACCTGTTTTATTTTGTTTTCTCGTTCTCCCTCCCCACCCCACCCCACTCCCACCCTTCTCTTGTCCCGCACCATTGCCCCTTTTTCTCCACTCCCAGCCCCATTTCCTTTTTTTCTGGAGTGTGTGGTGAAACAGAAAAATCATGTTTAATAAACGGAGATTGTTCTTTTATCGCTGTGCTGACATTCCTAGGCTGGGACCTCCAGATGGACCAGCAGGGTGATAGGATCTGCTTTTTGAGAGGAAGCTGATAGCCTGGGAGAAACTGTATATCCCTGTGTGATGCTATAGTCTCCCCCTAGAATCTGATCTCCCCTAGAATCACTCTCCCACCCAGCCAGGAGATTCATTCTGTTTTAGAACAGGGCTTTTGCACTGGCCAAACGCGCCCGCTCCAGCTCTGCCTTCACCACTGCTCCACTTAACCCCAAGGAGTAAAAGGGTCTAGGAACAAGCAGCGGCATCTGATAAAAGAATCGATGTATATGACTACATGTATCATTTAAACAAAAAATTACCTAGAAATAAGGTTTGTTTAATTGCTGGTTAAAATGCTCCCGTGCGGAATGGAGGAAAGAACTTGGTTCCTTAGCAAATCTGGGTTCCAATCGTAGGAGGCCCACCGCTTGCTAGCCTCGGTTTCGCCCGAGGAAACAGGATGGCAGCACCTACCTCGCGGGGCGGGGGGTGGGCACAGGGTGATGTGGACAACGCCTAGCCCACACAGTAGGTGCCCATTTAATCTCGCCCTCAGCACCGACCGGGGGGCGGGCGCTACGTTTAATCGCCGGGATGACTCCCGGCCACCCCGTCCGCCCTGGCTGTGCTCTCCGGGGTCGCACTTCGCCCCTCCCGCCGGGGCGACCACCCGACCCCCCGCCGCGGGGGCCGGCGGCTTCCAGCCAGCACCGCCTTCTCGCCGGCGCAACCAATCAACATGAGACTTGTAGGCCTCCGCTTCCCCCCATTGGCTGCGGCCCCAGCTCCGCCCACCGCGCCCGGCGACGGCGTCCGGCGAGGAGGCGGCGGCTTCCGGCCCGGGACGGCGCCGTGGCTGCCGAGGCGCCACGGTCTCGCCGCGTGCCTACCCGCGGGGGAGTGGCAGCGGGGAGGGCCGGCTGGCCGGCGCTCGCGCTCTCCCGGTGGGCGCGGCTTCCGGGAGCCGGGCTCTTTAGGCGCCGTGAGGTTGAACGGGGCGGCGGGCAGGGCCGGCGAGGTCAGGCTCGTGGCTGAAGCACCGCCTCATCCTCCTCCGCCGTCCTGGAAGTGAAAACCCCGGTTGGTGTCTTGTCGCGGGTGGTGGTTTTTGTTTTCTCGGTGGAGGCGTGCGCGGGACTGATCGGCAGAAACCGCCGCTGACTGACAAGTTTCCAGCTGTCGGGGGTAGGGGAGGCGGGGGTAGTGTGAGGAGACACGGTTCCCGTTAGCCAGAGCTTCTGTGACCCGCATCTCTTTCCTCCACAGCCTTCATCCCACGTGGGGCCGGCCCCAGCCCCTCATCTCCTGCTCTCGATCCTCTGGGGTCTCTCTTTCCCAGGAGGCCATGGATGCCTCGACGCCTTTGCCTCCCGTACCCCTCTCCCCGAGCTGCAACCCAGCCCCACGGACGATCCAGATCGAGTTCCCTCAGCACAGCTCGTTGCTGCTGGAAGCCCTGAACCGCCACAGGCTGGAGGGAAAGTTCTGTGATGTGTCGCTCCTAGTGCAGGGCCGGGAACTTAGGGCTCACAAAGCAGTGCTGGCCGCTGCCTCTCCTTACTTCCATGACAAACTTCTTCTGGGGGACGCGCCGCGCCTCACTCTGCCCAGCGTCATTGAGGCTGATGCTTTCGAGGGGCTGCTCCAGCTCATTTATTCAGGGCGCCTGCGCCTGCCGCTGGACGCTCTCCCTGCCCACCTCCTTGTGGCCAGTGGCCTCCAGATGTGGCAAGTCGTAGATCAGTGCTCAGAGATTCTTAGAGAACTCGAAACCTCAGGTGGGATTTCAACCCGTGGGTCGACCCCTTGCCACGCGCCTCTTGCCACCACATCCTCTGCAGGAGCCTGGTGCATTCGCTCTTCCCCTTTCCAGACCCCAGTGCCGTCTTCCGCTTCTACCGAGAGTCCTGTTGGAGGGGATGAGAGTGAACTGGGAGATGTGTTACAGATTCAAGTTGAGGAAGAGGAGGAGGAGGAAGAAGAAGAGGAGGAGGAGGAGGAGGAGGAGGACCAGGGCTCAGCAGCCCCCTCTCAGACTCCTCAACCTCAGAGAGTGTCAGGGAGTTTTCTCCGCCCTCATGGATCCCACCCACTGCCCCTTTCCACTACTCCCCGCAGGCTTCCAGATGGTGAGAGTGCACCCCTTGAGCCTCCTGCCCCTCATACTGCACTGCCCCCCAAAATCTTCTACATTAAGCAGGAACCCTTTGAGCCTAAGGAGGAGATACCAGGAGGTGGAACTCAGTCTGGAGGAGCAAAGGAGGAGACCACAGTATCTGCTGGAGGGGACACAGAAGGGAATGGGGGGCTAGGGTTCTTGCTGCCCTCAGGAGCAGGGGCAACATCTGGAGGAGGGGGTTCATCTTGGAAACCAGTGGATCTTCACGGGAATGAAATCCTGTCAGGAGGTGGGGGACCTGGGGGAGCGGGGCAGGCCGTGCACGGGCCTGTGAAGCTAGGAGGGGCACCCCCTGCAGATGGAAAACGCTTTGGTTGCTTGTGTGGGAAGCGGTTTGCAGTGAAGCCAAAGCGTGACCGGCACATCATGCTGACCTTCAGCCTTCGGCCCTTTGGCTGTGGCATCTGCAACAAGCGCTTCAAGCTGAAGCACCATCTGACAGAGCACATGAAGACCCATGCCGGAGCCCTGCATGCGTGCCCCCACTGTGGCCGTCGGTTCCGAGTTCATGCCTGTTTCCTTCGCCACCGGGACCTCTGCAAGGGCCAGGGCTGGGCCACTGCTCACTGGACTTACAAGTGACTGTGGAGGCCAAAACTAACTTCCAGTACACGAGAGCCACTGCTGCTGACGGATCCTTACCCTCACTACCATGGCACCCCAATCCTGGATCTTGTAATCATGCCAAGAGGATAGATGCATTATGGACCTCTTGCTCTTGGGTGTGGGCCTCAACCTAGCAGATTTGGAAACTCAGATTTCTTGTCTCACTCCCGGTTTTTGCTAACAATCCTACAAGAAAGTGGTTTACAGGCCATAAGTAAATTGATGACTTGCCCATAATAGACCTTTTCCTACAGGAAACCAGATTTCAGATTAGAAGTTTTATTTGATGAGAGAAGAGTTAGAACAAAAAGACATAATGATAAATGTCTCATTCGAACTCCATGAGACGGTCAAGGAGCTAGTCTCCATCTAGGGATTTGTTTGGTTCAGAGTTCTAGTAATTCAGAGACTAAGCTCTAAGTTTTTCCACTCCCTCATCATTGCTGAAATAATGTGAGCAGAGTTCTCTTTATGTACTTTTTTTGTTGTATCTTTCTAGAAGCCCCTCAGATCATAACTTGCTTTCTCACCAGTAGATACCTTCCCAACACCTTTATTTTTTATGTTGTAGTTGAGCACTTTAACAAATTGAGCATTCCACATGACATTCCTAGAACCCTCTTTAATAGAGGGTTTTCCCTCAACAGCCTGTGCCTCTTGTCTACCTTTGACCACCACTGATCACTCATATATTGATCACAGTTACTGGAATATGACCAGTGAACTCAGGAGATGGCAACTGACCTAAAATGCTCTCAGGGTAGCACCACTGCTCTGAACAAGTGGCCGTGGTCAGAGGGACTCAGGGCTGAGACGGGGCATGCTGAAGGCTGAAGAGTAACTGTGCGGTGGGACCACACTGCCTCCCTTTCCATCCCCACCTACACAGGACAGCCCCTTGATTGAGAGGTAGAAGGGTAGATATTGGAATGGGGAGATTATCACAGGTTACTTAATTTCTTAAAATAAACTGTCCTGAAATCCAAGTTGACAGTGGACTGATGAGTAATTTGTGTGGGAGGGACAACATGAGAACAGAATTGCAAAGACTTGGATGTGATCTGTATGCAGCTGGGTTATGTTGATGGGGGGAGAATGGGATAGTTTCACACTGGTGCAGAGAACACTGTCCTAGACTTCAGTGGGCCAGATTCTAGGCCCTGACTTGCCACTGAATCACCTCTGGTAAATTACCTTATCTTTCAGAGTCAACTGTTACTTTGTGTGTGTGTGTGTGTGTATGTATGTGTGTGTGTCGGAGGGGAAAGGCAGTATGTACCTCCTAACTGGTTCTCTGTCTTTAAAGGGGTTGGTTCACATGACCTTTACCTATAGTATTCTCTGGCTTCATTATTATATGTAATGTTTGGTTGTGGTTGGGTTTGTTCTACAAACATTTAGTGCAAAGCATTGTGCTAAACCCTGACTTATACTCAGCCCTCAAAAGAATTCACAGCTACTACCTAAGCTAGGCAAATAATGACGATGTGGTATGAAAAGTCCATGAAAGTGGGCAATACAAGCTACTGTAGTGACACAAAGGAAGCCGAGCAAAGACCTATTGTAGGTCAGCAGAGTTTTCACAGAGAACTCCATGTGCCAGAGTATAGTGGTGGGTGTGGGTGGCTGAACTGATGTGGAAATGGTAAACGCACCTTGAAGTCACAACTATAGGGCCAAGAGTGATAGCCTTCTCCAAAGCATGTTCCTCAAAAGTTATTAGGTATGGCACCCAGAAGGGGCTGAAAAATGTGACTTTATGGTTGAGAAGATGAATTCTAGCTGGGATCTCTCAGCCTCTCTTAAAGAGCCATGCTGTGGTACCAACCCCATGGTAAGGACTGAGAACACATTGGGAAAGGGGTCAGGGAGGGGGCTGCCAATCTTGGATCTACTAGAATCCCATCCACTTGCTGTTCTTTTGGCCCACATTCTGTAGGTGGCTGTATCCATTGGCCAGGATCCTTTGGTTGCAAGCAACAGAAGCTGGCTCTAGCTAACCTTATCAAAACAGGATTCTACAGAAGGATATGGGGTGGCTCCTGGAATGGAAGGAAGGACTGAAGGACCAGTCTTTGGAAGGACAAGACCTGGGTCAGCTCGGGGGGTCCAGGGAGCAGGAACTCCTGGGGAATCTTTTCAGGTGATATGTTTTAGGATGATGACCCAGTCATTTTTTTTTTCTTGTGTCACTCATCTCGAGATAAAATTTTCCAGGAGAGAACTCAGCCTCAGGTCCACCCTCTGGCCAGAGCACCTTGATTATGTGTTCCGTGGAGGCAACAAAGTGGACATGGAATCCTCAAGGGGAAATTGAAGTCCTAGGATAGAAGGGTGGGGCATGGGTGCTGGCCAGCCCACAGGAATAGAGGCCCACCCCAGACAATCTCCACATGTTGCCCATCTTGGGATCCTTAAAGCCTCAGATATACCTGGCATTTAATACGTGTTCAAGAAATGTTGAACCTGCCCAACATCCACATCTGCCCTCTGAACATAAGGCAGAATTGCTTCCTTCCTCTCCTTAGTCCTCATAGCACTTTGTTATGACTTCTATAATGCCAATTAAAGCACCATGTTAGAGTTTTTTTTTTTTTAAGTTATTAGGTATTATACAGAAAACCAGTTTTATGATGAAAGATTTTGGTTTAAACAAACTGAAGCATGTACCTCTCTGCCTCTGTCCTTTCCTCCTTATAGTGGAAGAGATGTCCCTCCTACTGTCCAAGGCTAGCCCGCTTCCCAGAGGCTTGGCTTTTTTTTTTATTGTGAAACTTTTGTTGTACATTATTGTTTGTCAGTCACCATATAAATGCATCCCTCCACCCCCTTGTGCCCACTCCCCACCCTCCTTGCCCCTGGTAACCACCAAATAGTTCTATCTGTCCGTGTGTTGGTTTATCTTCCACATATGAGTGAAATCATTCATTGTTTGTCTTTCTCTTTCTGCCCTATTTCGCTTAACATAATATCCTCCAGGTCCACCCACGTTGTTGCAAATGGGACGATTTTGTCTTTTTTTTTATGGCTGAGTAGTAGTCCATGGTATATATATACCACATCTTCTTTATCCAGTCATCAGTCGAGGGACACTTGGGTTGCTTCCATGTCTTCGCTATAGTGAATAATGCTGCAATGAACACAGGGGTGCATAAGCCTCTTTGGATTGTTGATTTCGGGTTAGTTGGGTAGATACCCAGTAGTGGGATAGCTGGATCATAAAGTATTTCTATTTTTAATTTTTTGAGGAATCTCCATACTGTTTTCCATAGAGGCTGCAACAATTTGCATTCCCACCAGCAGTGAATGAGGGTTCGTGTTTCTCCACAGCCTCTCCAACATTTGTTGTTTTTTGTCTAGGTGATTATAGCCATTCTAACGGATGTAAGGTGATATCTTAGTGTGGTTTTGATTTGCATTTCCCTGATGATTAGTGATGTTGAGTATCTTTTCATGTGCCTATTGGCCATCTGTATATCTTCTTTGGAGAAGTGTCTGTTCATTTCCTCTGCCCATTTTTTGATTGGGTTGTTTGTTTTTTTGTTGTTCAGTTGTGTGAGTTCTTTATATATTACGGAGATTAACCCTTTGTTGTATATATGGTTTGAAAATATTTTTTCCCAGCTGGTGGGTTGCCTATTCGTCTTGATCCTTATCTCATTTGCCTTGTAGAAGCTTTTTAATCTGATGAAGTCCCACTTGTTTATTTTTTCTTTTATTTCCCTTGTCTGAGTTGACATGGAATTAGAAAAGATCCCTTTATGGCCGATGACGAATAGTGTACTACCTATATTTTCCCCCAGGGGTTTTATAGTTTCAGGTCTCATCTTCAGGTCTTTGATCCATTGTGAGTTAGTTTTTTTTTTTTTTTTTAAGTTTTTTTTTTAAATATTTTTTTGTGAGGAAGATCAGCCCTGAGCTAACATCTGTTGCCAGTTATCCTCTTTTTGCTGAGGAAGACTGGCCCTGGGCTAACATCCGTGCCCATCTTCCTCCACTTTATATGGGACCCCACCACAGCATGGCTTGACAAGCGGTGCTTCTGTGCGCGACCGGGATCCGAACCCCGGGCTGCCGCAGCACAGCACACACACTTAACCGCTATGCCACGGGGCCGGCCCTCATTTTGAGTTAATTTTTGTGTATGGTGAAAGAAGATGGTCCACTTTCATTTTTTTGCAAGTGGCTGTCCAGTTTTCCCAGCACCATTTGTTGAAGAGACTTTCCTTTCTCCATTGTATGTTCTTAGCTCCTTTGTCAAAGATTAGCTGCCCGTAGATGTGAGATTTTATTTCTGGGCTTTCAGTTCTGGTCCATTGATCTATGTGTCTGTTTTTGTACCAGTACCATGCTGTTTGAATTACTATCACTTTGTAGTATGTTTTAAAGTCAGGCATTGTGATGCCTCCAGCTTTGTTCTTGTTTCTCAGTATTGCTTTAGCTATTCGTGGTTTCTTGTTGCCCTGTATGAATGTTAGTATTCTTTGTTCTATTTTGGTGAAGAATGTCCTTGGGATTTTGATTGGGATTGCATTGAATCTGTAGATTGCTTTAGGTAGTATGGACATTTTAACTATATTTATTCTTCCAATCCAAGTGCATGGAACATTTTTCCATTTCTTTATGTCATCATTGATTTCACTCAATAACGTCTTATAGTTTTCATTTTATAGGTCTTTCACTTCCTTGATTAAATTTATTCCTAGATATTTTATTCTTTTTGTTGCAATTGTAAATGGGATTGTCTTCTTGAGTTCTCTTTCTGTTAGTTCATTGTTGGTATATAGAAATGCAACTGATTTCTTTAAGTTGATTTTTGTACCCTGCAACTTTGCTGTAGTTGTTGATTATTTCCAATAGTTTTCAAATGGATTCTTTAGGGTTGCCTATATGTAAGATCATGTCATCAGCAAACAGCGAGAGTTTCACTTTTTCGTTGCCTATTTGGATTCCTTTTATTCCTTTTTCTTGCCTAATTACTCTGGCCGGAACTTCCAGTACTGTGTTGAATAAGAGTGGCGAGAGTGGGCACCCTTGTCTTATTCCTGTTTTCAGAAGGATGGCTTTCAGTTTCTCCCTGTTGAATATGATGTTGATTGTGGGTTTGTCATATGCAGCCTTTATTAGGTTAAGGTACTTTCCTTCTATACCCATTTTGTTGAGAGTTTTTTATCATAAATGGATGTTGGATCTTGTCAAATGCAGTCTCTGCATCTGTTGAGATGATCATGTGTTTTTTATTCCTCGTTTTATTAATGTGGTGTATCACATTGATTTGCAGATGTTGAACCATTCCTGTGTCCC